TTGTAGTTGGTGTCGACTCGGTCGCGTCTGCGCGCCCTGGCGGGCCCACGCGCGGCGGCGTTTCCTGTGCGTCGTAGCGGGGAAGGGCGTCGAGGGGAAGGGAATCGCGGAGAAGGTTTGCGTCGACGACGTCGGGAGTAGGAGGCGGCGTAGCTGCGGAAGAAAAGAACGCGGGGGGAAGCTGTCGCCTTGTCGTCGCATGCGTCGTTTTCGTCGGATGGACGCATGGAGCAGCATGTCCTGAAAGGGGGCGGCACAAGCCAAAGCTGCGGCAAAATTGGAAAGATGGGCGCGAGTAGGAGTCGGCGGTTGGTGTGGCTGCTGGTAAATGGTCGGTGGTCTGATGGCTGGTGCGCTGTAGTCGGCTGTCTGCTGGTCGATGTGTGTTCTGCTGGAAGGCATGCTGGTTTGTGCTGTCATGGAGGCTGTCGTGGTGGCTGCCACGTTGCTGTAGTGGTGGCTGTCGTGGTAGCAGTTGTGGTTATTGTCGCGATGGCAGCCGTGGTGGTCGTCGTGGCACCTGTGGTGGTAAGTGAGGTTATGACGGTCGTGGTAAATGTCGTGGTTGTCGTGGTAGTAGTCGCGTTGCTGCCGTAGTTGCTGTCGCGGTGGCCGGCGCGTTGCTGCTGCGATGCCTGTCGCGGTGGCTGTCGCGTTGCCGCACTGGTGGCTGTCGCGGAATCTGTCGTGGTAGCAATCGTGATAATTGTCGTGGCGGCTGCCGTGGTGCGTGTGGTAGTAGCTGTAGTGGTAACTGTCGTGGTAATCGTCGCCGTGGCTGTCGCGGTGGCTGCCGCGGTGGCTGTCGTGGTGGCTGTCCTGTTGTTGCCGTTGTGGCTGGCGCGTTGGCTGTCGCGTTGTTGCAGCGGTGGCTGTCGTGGACGCTGTCGTAGTAGCTGTCGCGGAAGTTACCGTGGTGCTTGTCGTAGTAGCTGTAGCGTTGCTGTTGCAGTTCCTGTCGTGGAAGCTGTCGTGGTGGCTGTCGCGTTGCTTCCGCGGTCCCTGTCGGGGTGGCTGTCGGGCTGCTATAGTCGTGGCAATCGTAATAGTTGTCGTGGCAGCTGCCGTGGTAGTCGTCGCGGTGGCTGTCGCGGTGGCTGCCGCGTTGCTGCCGTATACGGCCGTAGTGGCTGTCGTGTTGGCTGTCGCGGTGGCTGTCGTGTTGTTGCCGTTGTGGGTCGCGTTGTTGTAGCGATGGCTGTCGTGGTGCCTGTCGCGGTAGCAACCGAGCTTGTTGTCGTGGTGGCTGTTGCGTTGCTGCTGCAATTGCGGTCGTGGTGGCTGTCGGGTTGCTGCCGTGATGGAGGTCGTGGTGGCTGTCGCGTTGTCGTAGTGGTGGCTGTCGCGGCGGCTGTGGTGGTAGCTATCGCTGTAGCTGTCGTGGCGGCCGCCGTGGTGCTTGTCGTAGTTGTGGTGGTAGATGTCGTGGTAGTCGTCGCCGTGGCTGTCGCGGCGGCTGCCTTGTTGCGGCCGTGGTGGCTGTCGTGGAGGCTGTCCTGTTGTTACCGTTGCGGCTGGCGCGTTGGCTGCTGCGTTGTTGTAGCGGTGGTTGCCGCAGTAGTTGTCGCAATATGTGTCGTGGTGGCTGTCATTGCTGTCGTAACTGCTGTCGTGGTAGCTGTCGTGGTGGCCTTCGCGTTGCTTCCGTGGTGCCTGTCGGGGTGGCTGTCGCGCTGCTGTAGGTGGAGACAGTCGTGGCGGCTGTCGTAATAGCCATCGTAATAGCTGTGGCTGCCGTGGTGCTTGTCGTGGTAGCTGCAGTAGTAACTGTGGTGGCCGATCTCGTAGTAGCTGCAGTGGTGGTTGTTACGGTGGTTTCGCGATACTGCCGAAGTTGCTGTCGTGGTGGCTGCTGTCTGGCGTGTTGCTGCTGTGGTGCCCGTCGTGGTGGCTGTCACGTTGCCATAATTTAGGAGGCAACTACTGGGAGGTCTTCGTCGGAAGGACTAAGGAAGATTAAGCCCCGTCGAAGGCTGTTACGCCGGAGGGGCCTCGGATTAAGCGGGATAAAAGGGACTGAGCCGTATTAAGCGGGAGTAAGCCAAATTAGACCAGATTCGGACCAAGGCGAAATCAGAATTTGACCTCCCAGGGGTTGCATTCGAGCATCGTGGTGGCTGTCGCGGCAGCTGTCGTGGTAGCAGTCGTAGTAATTGTCGTGGCGGCTGCCGTGGCGCTTGTCGTAAGAGCTGTAGTGGTAGCAACCGCGGTAATCGTCGACGTGGCTGTTGTGGTGGCTGCCGTGATGCTGTCGTGGTGCCTGTCGTGGTGGCTGGTGTATTGTTGCTTTTGTGGCTGGCGTGTTGGCTGTCGCTGTGCTGTAGCGGTGGCTGTCGTGGTAGCTGTCGCGGAAATTGTCGTGGTGGCTGTAACGTTGCTGTCGTAATAACAATCGTGGTCGCTGTCACGTTGCTTCCGTGATGTTTGTCGGGGTGGCTGTAGTTGTGGCAGTCGTGGTGGCTGTCGTGATAGCTATCGTAATAGTTGACGTGATGGCTGCCGCGGTGCTTGTCGTGGTGGCTGCCGTGGTAGCTGCAGAGGTAGCTGTCGTAGAATTGTCGTGGGCGATGTCGCGGTGGCTGTGGTGTTGCCGTCGTCGTGGCTGTCGTGGTGTCTGTAGTAATGGTCGTCGCGCTGCTGCCGTGGTGGCTGGCGTGTTGGCTGTCGCGTTACTGTCGCTGTGGCTGTCGTAGTGGCTGTCCCGATAACCATCGCAGTAGTTGTCGTGGTGGCTGCCATGGTGGTTATCGCGGTAGCTGTCGTAGTAGTTGTCATGGCGTTAGTCGTGGTAGCTGTCGTGGTGGCTGCCGTCGTGGTTGTACTGATATCTGTCGTGGTTTCTGTCGTGGAAGCTGTTGTAGTTTTGGGGGAGAGCTGCTTGGTGGTCTGATGGTGGTCTTCTAGTGTTCTGCTGGCTGGTCTGCTGGGTGCGCTGCCGTGTTGCCGTCTGCTTAGTTAGCTGGCCTGAAGGTCTGTGAATATACAAATTCTGAGTACCCGCGCCATGCCAATATATATATATATATATATATATATATATCACCTTGCTTTGAAGTAAACTGAATTGTGCTGCCTTTGTCGATGCATGTGTGCAATCGTTCCAAATATTTGAAAAATATGTGAATGCGACGCGTTCGCGCTGGTAATCCGATCCGGTTGAGCGCCTTTCCATACTCTATAGTGTCTCTTTCGCGATGTGTAAGCCAAGTGCAACGCTGAGGATAAGAACCACACAGCCTGCCCATCTTGGCTTCAATGTAATATTATCAGGTAGTAAGTGATATAATACGAGAGATGAGGAAAGGAAGTAATGTGTGAGCGCTGGAGAAATATCTCGTACGGTGCACGGAATGCCCAACTGAGGGCGAGACGCATTGCCCCAGGCCTGCTTGAGATCCTCCTCCTCCTCTTTCTCCTTCTCCTGAAGTATCGTGCAGGTGCGGGTTGAGGATACCACGACCTCGAGTCTTCGGGGGAGTGCGCAGCAGGGGCGGAGGACAGAAGGATGCCAGGGCTTAATCAAGGCTGAGCACGCTGAATGGCCAAGGTGCGATCGCCCATCCGTAGAAGACGCGCGCCAAGCTTTTCAACTGGGCTACACTCAGCCTGGCGAAGGACCCAACCATATGCAACTGCGAGTGCCACAAGGCAGGTGGAAACTAAGGGAGTGGGGCCAGCAAACAGACTCAAACGTGCGTTGGAAGGACGGAGCAACGTTTCTGATGGGGTCGCTGAGGTCGACATACACGTGTTACATCTAGATGTAGCCCGTTGCGGCTGATCTGCGCGTCGGTCGGCGCGGCACCGGGGGGCAGCATGCTGCAGGGGCATTCGGTGGAGCTTCCTATGGGTCCACGAAATGTGCAACATGTGTGCTGAATTGGGCGCGGTCACGTAAGCGAGTCCTGCCACTGGGGCCTTCGGTGGAGCTCCCTATGGGGCCACGAAGAAGGTGAGGGGTTGCGCCGAACTGTGCGCGGCCACGCATGCGATTCCTGCCACTGGGGCCTTCGGTGGAGCTCGCGATTGGGGCGACGAAACATGTGAGAGTTGCGCCGAAATTGGCGCGGTCACGGATGCGATTCCTGCCACTGTGGCCTTCGGTGGAGCTCCGTTTGGGGCAACGGAACGTGTGGGGGTTGCGCCGAAATGGTGCGGAGAAAGCATGCGGACTCAGCCCGTGAGGCACTCGGTGGAGCTCCCAATGGGGCCACGAAACGTGTGAGGGGTACGGCGAAACGGTGTGGAGAAGGCATGCGGGCGCAACAACTGGGGCCTCAGGTGGAGCTCCCGATTGGGGCCACGAAACTTGTACGTACGGGGTGCGCCAAAATCTTGCGGAGAAAGCGTGCGAACGCGGCCACTGGGGCATCAGGTGGAGCTCCCATGGGGCCACGAAACGTGCGGTGGTTGCGCCGAAACGGTGTGGAGAACGCATGCGGGCGCAACAACTGGGGCCTCAGGTGGGGCTCCCCATGGGGCCTCAAAGCATGTGAGGGGTGCCCCGAAACGGTGTGAACCAGGCATGCGGTCGCAACAACTGGGGCCTCAGGTGAAGCTCCCTATGGGACCACTAATCGTGTGAGGGGTGCGCCAAAATGACGTGGACCAGGCAGGCAGGCGCACGCAGCTGATTTTTGGACCTTACGTGGAGCTCTCTATGTGGCCACGAAGCGTGTGAGAGGTGCGACGAAATGAACATGCGGAGGGCAAAGGGAGGGCTGGGAGGAAGGAGGAGGAAGGAGGAGGAGGAGAAGAAGGGATGAAGAGAGGAGGACGCGGGGCGAAGCGAATTCAAAACGAGGACCCAACTCAACACAGGATGGTTGAGAAAAACAAGGAAGCGGAAGTCGCCCACGACGACCACGACGACGACCACGTTGACGTCGACGACAACAACGACCACAACGACCACGATGAACACGACGGCCACGGCCGCGACCACGGACGAGGACGACGACGATGATGACGACGGCGACGGTGGCGGCGGCGACGCCCGCCTGGCTCCAGAAGACATTGAACCGCATGCGGAGCACCTGCCGAAGCTGGTCGCTCAGCATCCGCAAGAAATCGAGCCGCTCGAGGGGGTCCACGCCTCAGGCCAAGAACCCGGGGCAACCCAAAGCCAGCGCCTCGAGGAAAAGACGGACGAGGAGTTTCTGCTGGGATCCACTGCCACGGAGCCTTCGAGAGATGTCCAACGTCGTCAAGGTTCACTGTGACCCCAGACCTCCGTGGGTGGAGTTCCTGGCGACGCCTGATCCATACCTCCTGTCTATGGGCGTTGGAGGCGGAGGAGGGAGAGAGCGGAGATAGGAGGGGCTAGGACGTTCTGGCGGGCTCTGGGGGGATGCAGGAGGTTTTCGGGGTTCTCGGGGGGCAGGGAAGCGAGGGAGAGGAGGAGGAGGAGGAGGAGGAGGAGGAGGAGGAGGAGGAGGACCAAAGGAAGCCCACCCTCCCGTCCCATGTCCCCGCCCCATAAATCACTGCAGGCATTCCTTTCTGTGACAGGAAGCGCCACCCTGAAAATAAGAGCGCCCCATGGGCTTACCATTCAGACGAGAGCCACTGTTGAGGAGCACCATGGCATTAAACCTTGACTCAATCGAAAGTCCGTGCCACTTTTGGATAATGATGCTATCTCCATATGTGAAACTGCTCCACCACGCGTATCAAGTGAGAGTCTAATGGGCACTAGAAACAGCCTCCAGCGCAAGTACTGGAAGCGTTTAAGACGAATGCGCGCGGCGCTAACATGAAAACCACGATTTGCACACCACCACCCGCCATCTGCGTACTTGCTGCAAATCAACACCGACCGTGCAGTGGGCGGGCGAACACCACACGTTGGAAAATCATCGCAATCACTCGGACATGGTTAAGGCGAAGGTACGCGTCGCCAAAGCGAGAAACAGATTGAGACAACGAACTGCAACACAACTGCGTACGCAACCACCGGAAACGTTTTAGAACGAACGCACGAATCGGCGAAACGATTGAACACAATGACTTATGTTGCATTCTCGGGGGACCTTGACCTTGACTGTCCGTCGCGGCGCTATCCGTGTCGAATCCGGGTCGAATCCATGTCGGACTCGTCGGATCCGTGTCGAACCCGTGTCGAATCCGCGTCGAATCCACGCCAAATCCGCGAGAATAGATCCCAAGTCTGGGGACAGGCGAGGCCCCCCGAAGATGCAACGTCAAGTGACCCCTCCATCCGTGAATCTGGAGATTCCACGCTTCAGGATCACAGATGGTGAGCGGATCTCGGGCGAAGCGCCCAATCCGCCCTACGGGCACTCCTGGGGGGGAGACGAGGTGCTCTTTTTCGAAGGGTCACGGGCAGATCGACGATGACGGCCACCACGACGACTAGAGGCCGCCCAATTGGGGTCCGAGTAGCTAGGCTCGTGGGGTCGAGCCGCATCGCCCATGCGTCGGAGGCGTCGGCAATGCATCGGCGACGTCGGCATGGAGAAAGTAGGCTACATATCGAATTACACATCGCCGATGTACCGGCGATGCGGCGCAATCGACTGCCGCCACGACGACGGCTTCGTGCCGGCGCCTCCGGGGACCTCCGTGGCGCCCACGTTGTCCGACGGCATGAACGGCAGGAAGCCCAGGTCGGACACCCTGCCGAGCCGTCCTCCTCTGCCTCATCGGTGTCCACTTGATCGTCATCCTCGTCCTTTTCATCCTCGTCGTCGCCCTGGTCATCCTCTTCCTCCTCCTCCTCCTCATCATCATCATAATCATAATCAATATCATCATTACCACCGTCGTCGACGTCATCATCATCGTCCCGACCGCAACCGTCATCATCATGAACAACATCGCCAATCATCATCATGAGCAGGAACATCAACATCATCATCATCATTATCATCAACATCAACATCAACATCAACATCATCATCATCATCATCATCTTCATCATCTTCATCATCATGATCATCATCATCATCATCATCATCATCATCATCATCATCATCATAAACAACATCATCACCACCATCAACATCATGCCAATCGTCAACATCACCACCGCCACATCTTCCGGACCCTCCACATCCTCCTCCTCAGCATCCACATCCTCATCGTCATCATCGTCATGACAATTAGCAACCTCAACATCTTCAGCACCATCACCATCAGCATCATCACCATCGCCATGTCATCAAAATCATCACCATCACTATCACCATTACCAGAACCATCACCATTACCGTCACCATCAGCATCAGCCTCAGCCTCAGCATCACCATCATCATCTCAACACAGCATCATAATCAGCATCATCAACATCACGATCATCGTCATCATCATCAAACTGAATACAATCGTCATGATTCATCGTTCTCATCATCATCATCATCAGCAGCATCATCATCATCATCATCATCACCGCCACCACCACCATCACAATTATCAGTATCCTCCTCTTCTTCCTCGTCGTCGTCGCCGTCCCCATCCTTCTTCATGCTCGTCATCGTCATCGTCCTCGTCCTCCTCATCCTCCCACTCTCCGTCCACGTGCCGATCGTGGTCGGCCTGGCAAGTCCCCCTCGGTATCGTCCTTGTCCTCAGCGTCCACGGCATCCTCCGCGTCCATCCTCGTCCTCGACGTTATCCCCCCCTCCATTCTCCTTCCTGCCTTTCTCCTCCTCCTCCTTCCTCGTGGACCCTGCCTCGCTATCCCTCCCCTTGTCGTCCCGTCCTCGCAATCTTCGTCGTCCTCCACCACCTCCGCCTCCACCTTCCCCAGGCCCTCCCGGAGAAGACTGATGCCCGAGCCAGGGCAGCCGCCCTGGCCTCGTCCTCCTCCTCCTCCTCCGACGGCGACGACGACGTTTCCTCGTGGCCCCGAGGGAAGCGGGCACGTGACCCAGAGCTCCCCCTGGGGGCCAGTTCCTTGATCCCGAATAGTTATTTGACAACCTGGGGGGGGCGAGGGGAGCCCTGGCAAGCCAGGAATATGGAAACTGCCACGCCCAAGTTCCTGCACGAGGCCTTTTCCTCCTTGCCCCCCCCCCCTCCCCGTCCCCTGCTAAACTCCGTCCCGACACCCCCGCCCCCATGTCGACCCCCTGCCTCTTATCCCCACCTGCCGTTCCTCTCCTCCCCCTCCGCTTCCTCAAGGAGCAGCGTCAAGACGCCTTTTCAGGAGCAGCGGGCCGTCATGAAGCAGCCCGCCTTCGAAGATAACCAGGAGTTCGAGGTGCAGCACGCCTCCACGGAGCAGCACCAGGTTTTCGAGGAGCAGCACGCCTCCACAGCGCAGCATTTCTCAGAGGAGAAGCGCACCTTCGAGGTGCTGCGCACCTTCACGGAGCAGCACGGCTTCGAGGAGAAGCAGGTCTTCGAGTACCAGAACGACTCCGTCGAACAGCAAAACGACCTTGGGGAGCAACACGCCGTCGCGGATCAGCGCGCCCTCGAGGAGAAGCACCAATGTTTCTAGAAGCAGCGCGCCCTCGAGGACCAACACGCCTCTGATGAACAGCTGGACGACTGCGAGGATAAGCAAGGCACCTTCGAGGGCCAGCTTGCCTTCGAGGAGCAGCAACAAGCCCACGCCGAGGAGCCCGTCGCTTTCGAGGAGCCCGTCGCCATCGCGACGCTGGGCGCCGCCACGGCTGGAGGCATGGACTGCGCGGCGCAGCCTGTGGCCGTCTCCGAGCCCAGGGGGGGAATAGTTCGCTCACGTGGGTTGGCGATCCTTCGGCGCTGACAGCAACAGTACAAATATTGAGCGAGCATACCAGAGCCTACTCTCTAGAGTCAGCGGCGCAATGGCCAAACTGAGAGCTGACTCCAATTCACTGGTGCGGGTAGATTTCCGCACCATGCACGCTCGCCCTCGATACCCGAGTAAATCCCACCAGCCCTTTTTAAACGTAAATGGTCTAGGCCGGTTTCTCTTCCAACCCCTCAATTTTCCCCTTCGGGGGGGAAGTGATCACTACTCCGTGTTGATGTACACCCCCGACCCCATCCGGCCAGCGGCCAACCGCCCCCCACCATCCCTGCCCAAAAATACCCTGGCGAAGGACCCAACCATACTCAAGTATGAGAACCGCAAAGCAGGTGGGACAAAGCAAGGGGGACTCCCTGTGGGGCCACGAACCGTGTGAGGGGCGCGCCAAACTGAAGTGGGGCGCCATGCGAACCCTGCCACTGGGGCCTTCGGTGGAGCCCCCTATGGGGCCACGAACCGTGTGAGGGTTGCGCCACAATGGCGCGGGGCCGCCATGCGAACCCTGCCACTGGGGCCTTCGGTGGAGCTCCGTATGGGGCCACGAACCGTGTGAGGGGTGTGCCAAAATGCGGGGCCGCCATGCGCACCTTGCCACCGGGGCCTTCGGTGGAGCTCCCTGTGGGGCCACGAACCGTGTGAGGGGGGCCAGGCCCGTGAGACGGCTTGAGCCAGGGGGGCTACGGCTGGCGGGGTGGTCGCGGGCGGACTCGGATTCGCAGTCGCCGAGCTGAGCTGGCGGGGGTACTCTTTTGGTCGCAACCGCAAGCGAAACCGCAGGCGGCGAGAAGGAAGTCCGGGCCAACGGGCAAGCTTAATTAGCTACAAAGCGCAGCGCAAGCCGGCCGGGCCAGCCCTCAAAGGCAGCAGCTGCGGCAGCGGCGGCGGGGGGCTGACTGGCTGAACTGCAACGCCCAGGGAACTGGCGGGGGTATTTTTGGGGGGGATTCGCGGCCCGCAGGGGGAAGTCCAGAGGGCGGTGTGACCGAGGCTGGGGCACAGCGACAGATAATTGGCGCGACACCGCGCAGAGCGCACCTGCAGATAATTAGAAAGAGGCGGCCACGGGTCAACCCGCAGGTGGGGGCGAACCGAACGCGGACCCCAAGTCGCTGAGCGTGTGCCAGCAGAAGAGGGCAACCGCGATGGGGGCAAGCCGAAGCCCTGCCGAAAGCACGCGGACCCCAAAAGCTGCTGAGCGTGTGCCAGCACAAGGGGGCAACCGCGACTGAGCAGGTGGAACCAGGCCGGACCCGCAGGTGGAGTACCGACCGCCAGCCTGAAAGGGGGGGAGGCAGGGAGGCGCGAGAAGAGAAGGAGAGCACAACCTAAGTGTCGGATCCACTCACTTGACACCCAGTGCCGGATCCACTCACTCGCGAGAAGGAAGCGTGTCGGATCCACTCACTCGAAGCGTCAAAAATTCAATCGTTCAAGCCAGAAGTTACGCAGGCTTCTTGGCTGCAGTGGGTGATTGCAGACACAGGTCGAGAGCCTCACAGCAGGTGCTTCCCTGAGATTGGTCGGATGCCGCTCGGTGCCACGGTGCACCGCGCCTTCGGCGCTGCGAGCCGATCCTGTTTCGACTCGAACCCACCCTTCAACCGAGCGCTGGTTCCCCTCCTCTGTCTTTGCTCCTCCTGTCATTGTGTTTCCCTTCCCGTGGCGCTCCTCCTCCTCCTCCTCCACCTCCGTTCCTCCTTTCCTCGCCTCCATCCCCGCACCAAACCCCGACGCCGTGCTTTTGTTCGCCTCGCCGGCCCTCGGAGCTCTCGACCCCCTCCAGCCGGACCGGCTCTTCAACAATGACCATGTTCTGCGGACCCCAGGGCCTGAGAACTGCTCCATGGTGCCAAAACTCAAAGAGCAGGCCAGGGGTGCTTTCACGCTCTGGCGGAAATCCGAGAAGACTCCGTCCTTCCTTTCGACCCCTGTCCTCTTCTCCCCTTCCCCTTCTCCTACTCCACCACCTCCTCCTCCTCCTCTTCCTCCTCTTCCTCCTCTTCGTCCTCCTCCTCCTCCTCTTCCGCCATCCCACTCCTTAGAAATAGCTCCTCCCTGTCGCACCCTCAGACGTGTCGGTAGGGCGGGCCGGGCGTTTCGCCTGAGACTTCCCAACCATATATGACCCTGAAGCTCGAAACTCGAAACGATTTCACGGGTGGAGGGCCACCCGTTTTGAAAATGCGGTTCTCGCCCCAGCGCCATGCAGATTAGTCTGAAAAATGCACAGTTTCACGGATGCAAAGCGGGTCGTCTTCAAAATGCCGATATCGCCTTAGCACCGCTCACATTCGTCTCGGAGTTTGCGACAACTTCAAACATGGAGAGCGGCTCCTGTTCCAAATCTGGCTCTCGCCTCAGGACGCAACAGTCCGCGCGCACGCGCGATCCCGTGGGAACGCGCGGGGGAGGGAGATGAGGGAGTGGAGGAGTGGAGGAGCGGATGAGAGGAAGAGGAGGAGGAGGAGGAGGATGAGGAAAAGGAGTAGGAGGAGGAGGAATAATAATCATAACAATAAGCAGAAGTTGAGCAGCAGATGAGGGGAAGGAAAAGGACGAGGAAATGGAGGATGATGGAGGAAGCAGAGGAGGACCAGTGCAAACTCAAGACGCATCAACGACGTTGCAGTATCCCGCCCTCCAAATTCCTTCTTCACATATCCCTGCAATAATGTATGGCCACTGCGAGAAGTGCCCATTTGGAAGATAACCGTCCGATCATCTTCAGTCGCGTCAATAACAATTATTGGGACTCTAGCGCCGCGAATCATCATGACTGTTACTTCTTAGCAAGCTTAATTCGTGCCCAGACGCTTTTTTATATATACTCCAACACGGCGAATAGGCGTGACTGTTACGTCCAATCAATCCCCAA